ATGTTTGACCATTCTAAATTTTCCAAATGTCTAGCGCATTTAGAGGGAAAGGGACTAGAATCGGTTTTGACTAAATAATTAAACAACTATCAAAGGACAATCCAAAGTTCGACGAGGATTGGTCGCTTGTGAGTAGTTGGAAGTATAGTATTGGAAATTATGGAAATGTTTCCATATTGGATGGACAATATCGACATCATTACGAATAGATAAGATTCTATTAAGAAATTAGTTGTCATATGGAAAATATGGAAGCGTGTCCATTTGGAATAAATATTGAAAATCTATGACTAGATTAGAAACCTTTATGCAAAAGGATGTTCAAAGGAATGTACTTTGAGTGAGAGACATCATATCTAAGGAATTGTCTTGTAACAATCTCCGTTATAGGACTTTGTAATATCATTGGCAATAGTTTGTGACTTTGGTGCAGTGACATTACAAAAGGATCGTTGCATAAAGTGTTAGAATCTAGTATATTTTATAAGTAACAGAATTTGATATTTTACACTTAAGAAAATGGGTTTGGAGTTGTAAAATGAGAATGATTGGAAATGTGTTCAATTTGTCTATTTCACAAAAGTAAGAACATAGGTAAACATTGTGTGTGCATGCTAGGAGCATGGGACAAGTGTTAATTCAAGTAAGAAGTTGATTACCCGAAACGACAATAATGAGTAATCGATATGGTGATAAATAAAACGTGTTTTGTTTATACTCAAAGGTTTGAGGCCATATGGGATTAGTATTATTCTTGTGTTTCACCTTGCATGTTTTGACTTCCAGAATAATTGAGTTTATTAAGAATAATCGAATTATTCAAACGGGCCACAGTCGTTCATATGTTGGAAGTAGATATGAATGAAGACTGTCGTGAATTGGTGTGTGGATTGTCTAAAAGAGTATTAGACATAAGCAAATGTTTGTTGCAACGTTCATAAGTGCTTATGAATATGATTTGAGCATTGGATTAAACCCACGCTCACTTGGATCACTATCTCGAGTGATTAGTGAGACGATAACATCTTATATTCTTGAAACCGAGATGTGTGAGTTGTATCTTGCGAATTGGTTGCACATTGATAATATGTAAACGCACCAGTAACTTGGTGTTATAAAACATATTGTTGTGTGTAATTCGGTGAGTGAGTGCAAGCAAGCATTGTATCAAAGTTTATCCGTTCCTTTTATTCAAAGAATAAAAGCGATATCTTTGGGCCCCTCGATGGTTTAGTGATGACAAACGTAAATGCTCGATCGGGCTAGGGCTAATTTGATTTGTTCAGTTAGTCTGCCGTCATAAATCGGAAATCGAGATATAGTACAAAGAGAATGATTTGAAATCATATCTCATACGATATCTAGAATGGAGGAATATAGGATCCCTTATCTAAGGACACGCGTATCTGATAGGATCAGAATTGACAGCGGCTTTGGAAAGCTACGATTGCAGATCAGGATCTGAAGTCATACGCAGAATAGTTGTTAGACTTATCCAAGTGGGAGACTGTTGGATTAGTGTCTAAGTCCATAACTATTTTGGTATGTACTTGACCCGATGGTGCATGGTCCTTTTGGGTTGCCTTCACCAAAGCAACTTGATAGGATGATTTATGGAGAGTAAGGATTAAATATGATTTATTAATGTATTATAAGAATAATATATTAAAGGAGAAATCATATTGTTTAATTAATATTAGTCAATAATTAATTGGTAATTAGTTTTGTGACTAAAAGAGATTAATTAAACTTAAGGGACTGGAACTGTAATTATAAGATAATTGCAATTTAGGCCATGGATTGCCTTGTATTAAGGGATGGACGAATTCTAATGGGAAACCCATAAGGAAATCGTCCATGGGCTTGATAAAAGGAGTCTATGGGTTGCTTAGGGCTTAAGCATCCAAATTAGGGTTTCCTTGTTAGATAACCCTAATAGCCCAACTATATAAAGACCCCTTAAGGCTCAAAAACGTGGCTAATGATCTTACTAGGGTTTCTACACGTTTTTGGCAGCCTCCAACCTCTCTCCTCTTCATCCTCTTGCTTATGGTGTTTGTGAACCATTAGAGGAGTGACACTTGTGACTCTAAACCTTCCAAAGTCAATTCAAGGAGGAATTAGGATTGTTATTGCTACATAACAATCAAGGTATGATCTTAAACCTAATTACATATTAATATGATTACTTGTATGCTAGAATTAGGGTTTATAGTCTTGGATTCAAAGCATGTACAATAGAGAAACCTAGATCCAAACATTAGGGTTTGTATGAGCACATAGGATGTCTTATGACTAAAACCCATCAAATATTATATCGTGATAACTATAATATTGACTTTTTTTATCTTCAGTATTTATTATAGTGTGATTTAAAAAAAAAAAAAAAAAAAAAAAAAAAAAAAAAAAAAAAAAAATCATTACTACATTTTACGTAGTAGTTGTCTGCTTGTTTGATTCTTCCCTTTTAGTATAGCTAGCTTTCTTACCTCAGATTCATGATTAGGTCCATGGTAGAGTGAGATCGTATCCTCTTATTATGGAGTTGAAGGTTTTTATGGATATGTACTAAGAATGAATGATCTATGATTGTGAAGTTAAACTAATAGATGTTTTATGGAAAAAGAAAAAATAGGCATTGTTTCTTCTTTATATCCTAACAGGCGAAATGGAAATGAGTGAAAGCTACACATTGTGTGCTAAATGATGTTGCTTGCTTAAGTTAATTGTGAGAGCCCTACCTAAAAGTGTATTCCCAAATCGTTGATTCCATTACCCTTTGGGTAGCGTATATATACAAGAGTTTACATGATAAAAATAGTATCTAAAATATCTATAAACATGGACACTTATCTCCTAAGATACACCAAAATATTGACCCAACTATATGAAGATATTTACACACTCTATTAACTCACAATATCTACTATCTTAAAAGCAAAACACTTCTCCTAAAACTTGGTTAAAAATCATATCTTCCAACTCAAGTGCAACGCACTCCGATTCCATCTGTAAATTCATCCAATCATCACCCACATTTAAATCCCACGACACAATATACTCCAATGATTGATCCTTAGTAGGATTCAACTTCAGCAATCTGCTTACACTCTTCCACACCTCCTCAAGAACAAGTTTACCACTAGGGCCAGGACTGAGGTGGCAAGAAAAGGACAAAACTTTTGGATAATACGAGAATGATCTTTCATACAATTTAAGCAAAGTCTCATCAACCAATTCAAACCGATGTAAATCATGCGATAGTTTAATGACTTCTTCCTCAAAGGATTCTGCATCATGTTGATATTGAGACTCTATACCATGAAACACTGAAGGATTTAGTATCTGGTTTGAGGAATACCATGTTTGCTCAAAGCCATTCTTAATGAAACCTGATTGCTCCAATATCTCCCTTACATAATTCAAGTACGTATACTCATTGTTTTGATCATGGGTATTTACACTCTTGATACCTTCTTCTGAAACACATAATTATGTAGACATGTTAATTGTAAACTGCATAACATGAATATCAAAGAATGAAATGGGAAGAAATACTATGAATATCGATTTACCTTTTGAGATCTGAAACTCTAATTGGTGACTTTTTTCTTGTGAACTAGAGTTTGACTTGATGTCCCCACTTTCTTCTTCAATAGATAATGGATAAAAATCAGTTAACTGGAAGTCTGAGTTGTTAATATGATTTGTCAACTTCAAGCTTCTAAAACTGCTCAAAATGGCTTCCTTAGTATCACCATTGTCAAACAATTGGGCATGTCTATCATTGAGGGAACATATCCTTTTGATGGACATAACACTGCCATTATGTTGATCATCTAATTCAATGATTAAAGATTCTAATTTTGATAAATCCAATTTTTGTGCCCAATTATCTGAACCCTTTTTGTTTTTGGGCATTGAGTAGAACTCATTCAGCTTGTGCTTTAGCTTAGTAGGCCTCAAATTTCTACTGCTTAACATGGAGGGAAAAGAACCTGATTTTGTCAGTTTTGCTTTTGTATGAGAGACTTGTAAACCATCTAGCAAGATTCTTGAATTTTCTGATATATCCACATAATCTTTAATCCCCTTGTTTGTATCATTTTTATCAGGATTTTTTTCACTAAACTCTTCAATATTGGTATGATGAACCCATTCATCGGTTTCTAAATGATGAATTGAATACGTTCTTTGCAACACTCGACCTCGTTTCTTATGGTCATTCTTTAAACTGTCTTCAGAAACCAATGACTTTAAACGATCTTTAATTGACCTTGTGTGTGAGTTACGTTTTTGTTTACTTTGATCAGCTGTCTGAAAAAAAAAAAAAAAATGCAATTTCAATTCATTTTATGCAAGTTAAAATAAAACATTAGATAGATCTAATGGTAAATGAACATACATATACCTGGATGAGACTTCTTTTTCCCGATGAAAGTTGTGATCTTTCAAAAGAGTCTTGATCATGCAAGATTTGTCCATTAGTCTTTTGTTGCTTAGCTTGCTTTCTATGAGGTAGTATCTTTTTGACATTAGAGTGCCAATTTTGGTAGTTGATAACAGGAAATACACCAGATATGCATCCGGGATGCATATTATTGAAGTCATCTCCATCTTCTGTACACAATAACTTTCCCATATGAGAAACACCACTTATGAAAGATGTAATTTAGGCAACCTGACGAAAGTTTATGAAAGAAGTAGCATGTAATTTGTAGACGAGATTTTTTTGAATTCAACGACCCAAAAAAGTTGACCGAATCGGGACCAGTTACAGTTGAAGAAAAACCAGAGATGAAACTAAAGAATGTCGTAATCAAACTATAAAAGTAATGGCTGTTACACAGCTGGCGAAAGAGAGAAAGAAAAATCTATATCACAAGGTAAACGACAAAAACGTAGAACTTAAAACAGTAGCCACATGAAATAAAGACAAGTTAACTTTTTCACTTTTCAGTCAGTAATTTCTTCGAACACCTATTGTGCAGCTACCTGAGGCTGATTATGAATTTATGATAGAATTGTTTATAAATTCTTATTACTACTACTTCAAGAAGGGATGAAAGTAACAACTACGGCGAGTTGTATATGTTCACAAACTTATTGTATGATGAACGGACGAAGTGTTGTCCTTTTATTTCATTAATTGAAACGTTGAACGCATTAAATACGGAGGAGAAAAGGAAGAAGAAGGACCACGAACAATATGTGTAGAATAATCGAATTGGAAGAATTCTATAGTGGTACCTATAAATTTTGGATCTTTCGTCTTCGATGGGACCAAAAGCATAGACCCCAAATAAGTTTAACACGTCTACTGGTCATTATCTTCCACAGAGAAGATTAGAACGTGACTTTGCTGAAGAGGTCAGACTGACGATTCAAAAAGCTGATAGTTTAGGTTGAAGGGCTTCTATTTTGGAAATAGGATTTCTTGAATTAACCTTTCACGTTGAAGTAGCAGTAGCAGCCTACATCTTTTAATTTCCTCAGTATTGAAGCCATGGTTTTGTGCTGGAACGGATTGAATTTTGAGTACGTATTTCCTTAATTTTAAGATACTGTTGTTATTTATTTATTTATTTATTTATGAGAAATTAAATAACTTTTTTTTTTTCATCCACTTAACAAATTTAGTGTTTTCCTTTTCTACCCTTTAAAATCGCCGTTCCTTTAACATGATTTTTTCTCTTATTTTGAAATTATGTACCCTATTGTAGTTTTGTTTTTTATACTTAGAAACCAACCGTCCATCGTTTCTCAATTCGAGTTGTAATTTGTTTTATTTTTATTTTTATTTTATTTTATATATATATATATATATATATATATATATATATAAAATAAAGTTATTTAAAACTTTGAAGTAAAAATTAAATAAAAAATCATGTAGATGTGATACTAACAACATACAACATATATCATATTCGGTTAAAACTCATATAGATATGTAATCTAAGTTGGTATCACCATCACAAATGATAGCAATCACTAGGAATGAAAGTAGTGCGGTTATTTTGCGATATGGTTCCATTTTTAAAATGGATTGGTGTTGTTATCTATTAAAAATGTAGTTCAGTGTTTGACCTTAGTTTTAGACTCCAAAAACATCTTATTTATTGAGTGACATACATGTGTCTAAACATAAGATATCAAAACAATAAGTATCAAAAAAATTCAATATTTTCGGTTCTAGACCCACTCTATCCGGATCCACCCTACCTACATTCATATTTCGGATTTAGACCCACTAAACCCAGTCTCACACTAGGAATCGAACCGGAACCGGTTCTATATACCGGTCCGGTTTCCAATTCTACTAAATTCCGTTAACTGTTTTCTGAGTTTTCCAGATTCGAGTCCATCCGGTTCGGGTAAGAACCCACTTTCATCTCATTGATGGGGTGGTGTCACGGTGGTGGTGACAATGGTGTCAGAGGTGGTGGCGGACGAAAGAGAGAGGAGGTAGTGGATTCATATATAAATATGAGTAAATTTGTATTCACTTATAAATAATACCTCTCCTCTTTCGCACTGGTATGACAGAAGGTTTCGCGAGAAGATATAAATGAGTGGCTGATACTGATTTTTTTCATTTTCAACATTTTTTTATTTTTTTAATTAAACTTACCTTTATATATATATATATATATATATATATATATATATATATATATATATATATATATAATAAAGTAAAAACTAAAACCAATTAAGTTCGAATGGGTAAATGATGGAACTTGGTTTCTAAGTATAAAAATCAAAATTAAAATAAAATACAAAATCAAAATAAGGAAAAAAAATCGTGTTAGGAACGGTGGTTATAAAGGGTAGAATTAAGGAAAATCATAAATTTATTAAGTGGATGGATCAAGAAGAAGTGGAAATATCACTTCCTTTTTTTTTTCTATAAGTTTTGGTATCCAATTAAATAATTATATATGTTATATTTAATGTTCATTTAATGATATTTTGATATACTAAAATAAAACATATCATCATTTAATTTGGTAGAACAATTTATAGAAATAAAAATTAAAAGTAGAAGGATATTTAATTTCTCTTTATTTATTTATTCTGTTTCTATAATTCATTTATTTTAGTAATATCTCATTTATGTGGCATAAATTATCTTTGAGCTCCACATCAAAATATGATAAATAAGCCTTTAAATGGTCAAAAATATCAAGAACACTTAAAGGGGGTTAGGGTTTCTGAAATGAAAAGGTTGGAGGGTGAAAATGATGTCCTGGTTTGAGGTTAAAGTGCTGATATATAGAGAAAATCCTAAAAATTATGGGCTTGGAGTGTAGTGTCCGCCACAGCATGACACCCTTCTTGTCACATTGTGGTGACCATCAGAAATACACATTCTTCTTTTGGAATGCCACATCGTGAATATATGGTTTTCCTCAAAAATCATGTATTTGACTCATTTATACCATCCACTGATCCATTTTGGGAAACGGGTGTTACATGATGACTATAATATTATCATTGGAGAATTAGTGATTTGTAGTAACTTTGGCGGTTGAATACTTATACTTGCGAAAGAATATGTTATGAAAGTTTAAATGGCTTCAATCCAAGGAAAGGAAATGTTGGTTGGAGGAGTTTGTAATTTATATGTAGTATTGATTACTACGGAGGAAAGATTAATTAGAATTAATAGTAGCATGCTTAACTTTAAGTCTAATATGAATGATAAATAGGAGACTCGATGCCAATAATGTTGTATTGTGTATTGTATGATTGGAAGACACATTAGGATTATATGTTTGAGAAAGTGATGAAATATTCAGTTGTTAAATTAATTTATATTTTGTTGACTTGGTTACTCACTAACCTCGTTGTAGCTTATCGTTTTGATGTGCGTGTCTTTTAGGTTCAGGTTAACTTAGTAGCATGAAGTGGAGTTAGTAGCGTCCGACTTGGATTCTTAAATTAGATTATTGTAAGACTATCTTGATAAATGTTTGTATTGATTTGTGATATAAATATACATCGAATTTATAATGATTCATGTTTTATAAATGAAATTTTTTTGATGTACTTTGTATTAAAAATATGAGCATTACAGTACCATAATCATTTGTTTTTTTTTCATCTGCAGATACACATACTTCATATTCATGATTAGATTGTCAAACATGCGAAGATGTGTCTTGATGACACTTCCATCTATCATACCGTATGTAAAGAATGTTTTCATAATGATCAACCAGTTTGTTAACAATTTCATACGGTATAATTCTTCAAGTTTGGTTTAAATGCCTTTAACAGTCGTTTTGTGTATAATTTCTTGAATTACTCACTCACCCATGGCAAATTGCAAAGTGGCTTGTGCTTATTCATCCATTGAGTGTTATTACTCAATGGAGGAGATATTTGGCAAAATCTTTTTTAAGTCATAAATAACGGTTTGAACGTAGTTCCTTCAAAGCATGACCGGTAAAGGGGCAATATGGGGATCGTCCAAGGCCCAACCGGTCCCCACCTACCCCCAAAGTTAATGCTGATTGTTTATTAGGAATTTTCATATGCATCTCAAAGGTATTGAAGCGGCTACAATTTATGCATTATTGGTGGCAATTGGTTTTAACAAAATAGAAAACGAATCAACTGAAATTTATAAAAACTGAGCAAAAAACGAATCGACCGAAATACAAAGACGCAATGGAATCAATGGCCCCACTTCTTCAATCATGTTTGTAACATTTGTGTCCTTGGATGAATCGATTTGAGGTTTTGGAGGGTCAAAAGTTTAGATTTTGTGAACAAGTGGTCCTCGAGATGTAAAGGCATGGAGGCTCACGACGTGAAGAGAGCCGCATGAAGATTCCATCCGGGACTGAGCTCACGAAGTGAGCAATAAGAGCTCACGATATGAGGAGCGTTGTAGCCCAAGCCCACAAAGTTTTAGGGCTTCCAATTTATTTAAGCCCCCTTCTCTCAATTTTAGGGTTCAGTTCTCAGCCTCCACCATCCCTTAACTCAGAAACCCTAATCTTAATCCACCTTGGTGATTTTGGATCCATTTTAGTGTTTTGGTGGCTAGAAGAAGAAGAACAACAACAATATGTTCTAGAGTGTTGGTTCAGCAAGGAGGCTTCATCATCATCATCTTGTGCACATTTTGGATCATTGTAAGTATTCAAGATCCAATCTTTATGAGTTCAAAGTGATAGATCTAAGTTCTAAGCTCCTTTTTTGCATGTTTATGTTGGATTGCATGCTTGGGATCCATAAAGTTGGCAACTTTATGGATCAGTGAGTCATTCTCTATGTTTTGTTCTTATGGATCTAGATTGTGGTTGTAATTTATGAATATTGTTTGATTTTGGGGCCATTTCTAGTCATTTTGACCTAATATGGGTTTAGGACATGCTTTGGGCCATGCATGTCCATCAAGTAATCGTTTTTATTAGCTTTTGGAGTCCTTGTTAACTTATGAAAGGAATATGATTGAAGGCTTAACGGATTAAGGAATTGAAAGGTGGATTGTTAGCATCAGACTGTTCTCACGATGTGATGACACAAGGTCTCACGACGTGAGAAGCGTTGTTCCCATTTCTTGTCATCTGATTGGGGCTCACGACGTGAGAGAAGGCTTCTCATGACATGATGGCAGCCCAGTTGATTTTTCCTTGGCTGAGTTAACATGTTAAGTCGTGATGAGTTGGTATTTGATTGGGTGAGCTGACACATCCCAAAATTCAAGACCAGAAGTTTCATTTTTAAATAAGTTATTATAAAACCAATTAGTATAGAAGCATCCATAATAACATCTCATGTCAAAACCAAATTAGAAATAATCAGAACATGTTATCATAAAACAATATCGGAGTTTAATCCCCAAGATCTCATGTGCGGAAATATAGTGTGATGTGCGGCGATCGAGCCGGCTCCTTTCCTTTGAAAACGAAGTACTTGAAACCAAAACTGAAAACCGTAAGCACAAAGCTTAGTGAGTCCCCCCATCATACCACACACCATACAATAACATATTGTCAGACAATTTTGGAGTGCTTGACCTACCCATGTCAAACCATTCTGGGGGACTTACCCAGGCCAGCCATTGTGGGGTGCTTGACTTACCTGTCGGTCTATCTCAACCGACTACCAGAGACTATTTAACCCCTACAACTACCACATAATAACATAACATAAACATACTACCAGGCAATTATGGGGTGCCTGACCTACCTATGTTAAGTCATTCTAGGGTGCTTGACTTACCTAGTTCAAGCCATTCTGGGGTGTTTGACTTACCCATCGATTTATCTCAACCGACTACTGGGGACTATTTCACCCCTTGCTACTACCACGCAAATATAGCGTAAACAAATTGTCAGACATATTTGGGGTGTCCGATATACCCTTCAGTCCTAACAACCGAACTTGGGGACCATTCCCCTCCTACTACCATTATTACATATAAGTCGAGGAGTGTGAAAAATAACGTGCAATTAGTTAGTAGTTTTTATTTTTAATAACGTACAATTAGTTAATAG